ACAATCTGAGTAATCAAAAAAAATTGTTCTCACACTGTATCTATCAACTCATGAATTACTTAATTTGCGTCAGATCAAGGGAACAGAGACGTTTCGGGGGGGGGGGGGGGGGGGGGGGTGTTCTTGTTTTCCTGTCTGAGCACTGCAAAGATAGCTCACTGAGAATACTCAAGGTCATTCATTGTGTATATTTAGCTCATTGTATTTTTATCCACACACATCAGTGAAAACACATACAGTATTTTAAGACTGCTTCGATCCCTCTGATTGCATAACCATGCAGTGTTGCCCAAACTCAGGTCCTATGGAGATTTAGAACATTTCTGCTAAATCCCACCTCGACGTATATGTGCTACCCTTCGAGAAGTGGGCCTGGCTTCTCGCACCCTGAAGGCCAGTTGAAAAGCATCGCCTGACACACCCCCTGCAGCTTGATGATGATACCTCAGTCTTTGTTTTGCAGTTGGTTTCACGCCACCTCCATCACCTCTGTTGGTTTTCTCCAAGCAGGCAGGACATGATCTTGTTAGCTCTTATCTTTTTGTTGACCATGCACTGTCCTCCCGTCTCCCTGTGCCGGCGCCACTTGCCGGCCTTACTACCATGGCCATACATGCGTCAACCATCAGCCCTGATATGAAGGGTAGAGGAAATCTCTTTCCTCAGCCGTAACCTTCAACCTTTCTCCCCATGCCATCCTCTCCCTCATGCAGCCCTGACTTAGCATCTAGCGTCATGCCAAACAGAAACCAACCTTCCCTGCTACACGTCACTGGAGGTCCTGGGTCTGAGGGAGAGGTTGGATGGGACACACCCACAACAGGCCATCCACAGTGACTTCTGGATGTCCGGGTTTCGAAACGCGTAGATGATGGGGTTGATCACAGAGCAACAGGTGGCGGGGAGGACCGTGGCGTAGGTGTATATCACAGGGTAACTGGAGTTCGCCACGATGGAGTACATGGCAAACGGCAGCCAGCACGCCCCGAAGGCACACAGGATGGCCGACAGTGTGGAGACACCTTTGGTGGTGGAGATGGCCACAAACTGGTGCTGCACTGCAATCTGCTGCGCGTGGCGAAAGGCAATCTTGCAAATTTGAAGGTAGAGCTGCATCATCAGGGCAAAAACCAGGAGGAAGGTGACGGCGAGCGCCACCGCGTTGTTTTTGGTGACGGGCCTGCAGATGCTGCACGTGGACTCGTCTTTCAAGCAGTTCCAGCCAAACGCCGGCAGCAAGCCAAGCGTGAGGGACAACACCCAGATGAGAACCACCATCACGTAGGTGAAGGTGACTGTCCGCTCAGTGTGGTAAGTCAGGGCGTTGTAAAGCGACAGGTACCGGTCCACTGTGATGGCAAGAATGTTGAGGACGGATGCCGAAAAAGCCGAGATGAGCAGTGCGACTGACAACAGTGTCACATATTCCAGCGAGTTATCGACCAGATAGGTGAAGACAAAGTTCAGGATGAGGCCCAGGCCGGCCAGAAGATCTGCCACCGCCAGCGATCCAATCAAGATGAACATTGGTGCCCGGAGCGTCGGCGTGTAGAACAGCACGGCTATCACCAAAGCGTTCTCACAGGAGATGAGCGTCCCAGTCACGCAAAGTGCAATATCCCAGGGGCTGACTTCCTGGACAGCAACGGCAGTGGTCGCTGGCTGGAGTTCGGGGGTCAGAGTTCGCACGACGGGCTCGGAGGAGGAGTTGGACGGGTCCTCGGCCAGGCTCCAGGAGGTGGAGGAGTCAAAGAGGTCGAAGGGGGAGGAGGAGTTGAGGCTGCTACCGCCACCGCTACTCATGGCTGTCACTGCGGCCAGAGAGAGAATCATAGCTGGAGAAAGAAGGAGGAAGAGAATGATGAAAGGGAGAGTAAGTGGGAAGGAATGAGCGATAAGGAGGTGGAAGCGATCAGGTGAGCGTGTGTTGACAAAAAGGTCGTCAACGAGGGACGAGAGAAATGTGAGAGGACAGAAGATAAAACAAGAACAAAGAGAACAAATCAGAAAAAAGGCAAAAGGAAGAGGAGAAGTTTTAGGTCGAGGAGGAGAATGATGGGAGGATTCGGTTGTGAAAAGGAGAAGAGGAGGATGCAGGAAGAGAAAAGAGAGAAAAAGAAGCTGTTAATGTCCGTCCCTTTTTGATGAAGGGGCAAAGGAGACATTCATTCACTCCAGCATCTGCCCATTCATTCATTCATTCACCGAGGCAAACATGCACTTGACCCCGAACGCGCACGTCACCAGCTCCAACGCACCACGCTGACACTGATCAGCAGCACAACAAACACAGACGTGTTCCGTGAATAACAATAGTAACGTTCCCTCCATTTTTGTCTCGAAAGCGTCGTGACAGACGGAGCAGCCGAAAAGAAACGACAAATAAATAATGTGGAGAAAAAAAATAAAAATAAAAAAACGAGCCTTTTGAAGAAGCATGAATTTGGTGCGTTCCTACCGATAAGATGCCAGAACCAGAAGAACGGGTCCAACCTCCTCACAGTCAAAACCATAATCAAGAAATTCTATTTTTAGAGCATCTCTAAAAATGGTGCATGACGTCCTGGGGCATGGCAGCGGCGGCGGCAGGAGCTGTTGTCCTATTCACCGGTGGCGCGTGCCCAGACGAGTCATTGCTGCGTGCGTTTCTGCGTGTGCGCCTGCGTTTATTAGAACTTCGTTAATACGCATCCACATATGCTGCGGCGTGCACGCGGACGATCAGAAGATGAAATCAGGCACGAGGCTAATTTTAGCTCAGCCGGCTTGAGCTGCCAGCACGCGCGCGCCAAAAGGAATGTGGAGCTCCATTCATAAAAAAAAA